AAGAGCGACAACCGGATGGTGCACAGGAACTTCTGTGACAACGGCAAGAAGCCAAAGCCAATCCGACGGCGCTGTAACCTCCAGGAGTGCTCCCAGCCAGGGTAAGTCCTCCCCAGCTGGCCTGAGGTGCTCTCATCCCCTCTATGGGGGTGTTTGGAGCGCACCGGCCGCTTCCCAGCACAGGCATTGCCTCTAATGCCTTCACCATGTCCATCTTCCCCCCGCCGGCAGCTGGGTGGCCGAGGAGTGGGGTGCATGCAGCAAGTCCTGCGGCAAGCTGGGGGTGCAGGCGCGGGCGGTGCAGTGCGTGCAGCGCCTGCAGGACGGCACCAACCGCACCCTGCACACCAAGTACTGCCCCGGGCAGCGGCCTGAGACGCGCCGGCCCTGCAGCCGCCTGCCCTGCCCTGCACAGTGGAGGACGGGCGCCTGGTCGGAGGTGAGCTGGGGCGGGGAGGAAGCCCCCTGGCTGCACGGTGGGGTCTGGAGGAGGAGTACAGGGGCTGGGTGTGAAGGCCAGGTGCTTATAGAGCAGGCTGGTCTCATAGGGATGGAGATAAGGGTACAAAAGCCAGCGATGTTTACATTGAGGTTTGTGGGGAAACTCAAAATTAGACAGGCAATGGCATCCCTGTGCATCCTGGTGGAGAGCAGGGGGGAGTTGCTGGAGAGGGGGAAGGAAAAGCCCTTATTAGAAAGCAATATCCACTCGAGGCACTGTCATTGCAAATACTCCTCCAGGGTGGCTGTCGGGGTGTGCTGGCTCCCCCTCTGCCATCGCTGATGTCTGTCCATCTGTCTGGGCGCAGTGCTCTGTGAGCTGCGGGGAAGGTGTCCAGCAGCGGCAGGTGGTTTGCAAAGGCAGTGAGAACGGCGGGCGCTGCGAGGGCTACAAGCCGGAGGCCGTCCAGGGCTGCCACGTGGCCCTCTGCCCGGGTGAGAGGAGGAGGAGGAGGTGGTGGCACTTGGCAGGGGTCACGCTGGCGGAAACCAACCCTTCTTGCATGCTTCCAGCCCATATCTGCTTCAGGGGGATGCCAGCAAAGCAGGTCGTGGTGAACGTCCCAAATGCTGGCAGAGAAAGGGTTAAACACCAGCCAAAATATGACGCTTTTCTGGTCTTTCTGGCCCTGATATTTGCTGTAGATGGTTTTGGGTTTTCTGGCAGTTTGGGAATACAGTGAGCTGAGGGTACGATGGAGATGGGCATCCTGGAGTCTCAGGGGTTTTTGAGTGGCTTAAGTCCTGGGCCAAGCGCATGCTCCCCAAGGGACCTTGTTTTTAAGGAGATCCCTTAAAACAAAAAATTCCCCCACCAAAACACCCTCCCAAGGTATTTCGAGTGCCCCCAACCTCCCATGGCAGGGCTGGGCATTGTGGCGCTCTCTCCGCAGGGAAACTCTCTGGCACCACCGCCAGCGCTGATGCCAATGACCCCAGCACGCCCAAAGGGCAGCAGGTGCCCCAGGACGGACCCAAAAACCCTGTTAGCAAGATCTCCTCTAGTAAGTGTCCCTGCTCGGGTAAGGGCAACGCTTCCTGGGATAACCCTCCTGAGGGCTTCTGCAGCTCCCTGTGGGAAATGTGGGTGGCTTGGAGAGAGGATGCACATCCAGCAGCGGTTTGGGAGAGTTTTACCCTCCACTGCTGCATCCCTGCTGCCTCTGCTTGCAAAGCCTGCCGCTCGGTTGCCATCTCGTGGAGTCTGGGATCTTGCAGTTTCCACTGCCTTTGGCTGGGCACCGTGTTGTAATCCCTTTGCCGCCTGGATTTTATGCTGTTTCCTTTTTACTGTGAACTTTTTTCAGCCTCTAATGTTTACCCAAGGGGGGAGGTGGCTTCTGGCTTTTACCCCTTGCTCTAAGGGGTTGCTTAGGGCACTTTGTACCTGGGATGAGATGCATCATGATCTGATTTAAGATGCTGGTTTGGAGCATCCCTTGCTCTCTGTTTTTTCTCCTGTGCACAGAAACCTTGAACACTTTGGCTTTATTTTCCAACTCCCTCGCCCCCCTTTCCCATACAAGCATTGCCAAAATTGCTGCCCTGGAGCAGAGAGGAGTCATATGTTCGGCAGCATCCTGCAAGGGGGGCACCCCATGTCCTTGGGGACCACTGGGAGGGTGCAGGGGTGGGAGCCTAATGCCATCCTTGTTCTTCATGCTGTCTGACGCTGCTCTGTCCCTGTCCCTCTCCAGGGGAGCCTTGCCTCGGGGACAAGTCCATCTTCTGCCAGATGGAGGTCCTGGCCCGCTACTGCTCCATCCCTGGCTACAACAAGCTCTGCTGTGAATCCTGTGGCAAGAAAGCCTCTTCTGCCACCGGCTCACCCCCTGCCACCGCCCCCAGTGCTCCCCCGGGAACCGCTGCTCCCAGCCCTGCTCCGCTGCTCTCCCCCCGCCCCACCGCCCCTGGCCGGGGGGGACCCGGTAGGGACCCCAGCCCGGCTCCTCGGGCCGGGTCAGCAGCCGGCGGAGGGATGCCCAGCAGCAGTGCTTTTCCTGGGGGGCTGCCAGCCCCGAACGAGCCGGACGGGGGCCGGGCAACCAGGTAACCTGCTCGGGACCACCTCACCACAGGGCAGGGGAAGCCTTTCGCCTCCCTCCCTTTCCTCCTCCCCTTCTTTTTGTCTCTCTCCCCCACTTTCAGTGATGGTTTTCATGGGTGGCGCTGCCGGGTTTGGAAACAACCCGTCTCACCCAAAAATTCCTGGGAAAACCACTTTTTTCTCATGATCCCCCCCGCCCTCCCAGCTGTGGCATGTTTTTTTTGACAGCACCACAGAAAAAAGGTGAAAAGGAGCAAAAAAAAAAAAAAAAAAACACAAAAAAGTTTTGGCTGTCATCCAGGGATGTTATCATGCCCCAAGGAGGCTGCTTAATCCCATTTATAGGACCCTGTAGTTTTATTAGATGAACCAGTGGGAGTAAGTGAATTTTGCAACTGCAGCTTCAAAAAAAAAAAAAAAAAA